CTGTGTGTGTGTGTGTGTGTGTGTGTGTGTGTGTGTGTGTGTCTTTCTCTCTCTCACACACACAATCACACATACACAAACGCACGCAGCACACGCACACACACAGATACACACACATATACACACACACACACTCTCTCTCTCTCTCTCGCTCTCTCTCTCTCTCTTTCTCTCTTTCTTTCTCTCTCACACAAACAAACACAAACACGCACACAAACACACACATAAACACACACGCGCACACTAAGTAACACACACGTACGACAAAGCTCTAAGACGTACCACATTGGAGGGACTTTGAAAAAGACGCATGCAATCATTGTTCGGACAGAATTTTAATTTCTTCATCTGAAACGTTAGAAAGGAAAGCAACGGCATACACATACGTGTTTCTGATGTGTGCATGACGGATTGCAATATGTGGCTATATTGCCTTTATTCTGCGGATGATCGGACCTGACATATAATAATAAACAATTGCATTTGGATAAGATAAATACCGGCTCTACAGCAAACTCCATGCTCTTTGCAATTATATTTATATTAATATTACCCCAGCAGACCTGATAGCATTCTAAAATAATTCCAGCTTCCTTGAAAGCATATGCAGCTACTGATGTAAAGAGTTAATCTCACAACAAAAAACCGCTTTTTTACGACTGTAGGGTTATGTATGAGGCGGGTCATGCAAATTGAATGCCCATCACCTTCGAGAATATATCAAATTGGCTGAGAAACTTGAAAAAATCCTCAAGCGGCCTCGCCCAGGAACGCCCGGTGGGGATCTGAACCAGGGTCATCCGCTTCATAGTCCAGCATGATATCAATTAAGCTAAGAGCGACCCCGAATCACCGAAGAAATGATACGGATGCGCACTGTGATTCTTAAGGATGGTCTTGATAAGTATGATTTTTCTGTCAAGGAGAGCAACCCGTGATAGGAAAATGAACAAAACGGACGAGAAAATGCCAGAGAGCCAGACAGACAAACGGACACAAAAAAGTAATATCTTTAGACGAAACAAAGTAATATCTTTAGAACCCCCGGCAAAGACAGTTATTTTCCGCGCCAGTCCACAGACCAGTGAGTCAAACGTAGCGGAGTAATTCCTCCCAAGATTTGTCTGGCCCCGCCCCCACTGTCCCTGAACGCTGATTGGTTGTGGGTACGCACCGGAAGTACAAGCGATGAGAACACCATAGCAACCGCCTTCTGTGAGAATAGGGATACATGGTAAATTACCTGGACTGGTTTCTGGGGGCAAAATACTGATAGAATTTTTTTAGACCTCTTTTCCTTAAAGAAAATAATATTATAATTTGGGGGAACATTTGTTTTGATTGTTTTCCCTGTTATCTCTTTCTTGCTTTTCTTTTCTATCATTATAATCTATCGATTTAATTTTTTTTAAAATCAGTGCAAAGAAATAAGGTCAAATAACAAAACATGTTACGGTTTACGCTTAATGCTTATAATATATGCCGGCGTTAACCACGCTTTTGCAAACAAGACTGGGCTGGAGAAAAATTTCCCGCTACTGACCGTCAATTTATATTCGTCGAATGTTGTATCAGAACTCTAAATTAGCACTTCAGAAGGTGGCATTCGTTCTTACCCCTTTCACCGTGGTATTGTGTATAGATCACCGAGAAGAACTCTCCACCCATCTTTGTTCTGGGTAATCTCCTCCACATCCAGCCAGCTGTGTCCTATATGCTTGAGATATGCCTGTAGATCTCATTCCCAGGTGGATCTCGGCTTCCCTTTCTTTCTCCTCTCCCTAGGGGTTACATCCTAGGGAGGTGGTCTAAATGCTCTTAATGTCGCTATTAAAATTTTAAATTTTTACTGAGTTTCTCCTTTAGGATTTCTGCCTCGTAGGGAGCTTGCCCTTTTTCGGGAGGGGGAGTGGGGGGGGGGGGTAGATGTTTTACGGCGTTCGGAACTGCATAAGGTCATATGGCGTCCGGGGCACACCAAACAGTTTCAGTTGGTAGGAGACAATTTTTGAGAAGAAAAATGTTTGGTCACTACCCGGATTAGAAACCAGGACCTTTGAATGAGAGGTGAACACCTTAACCTCTAGGCCCCGAGAGCCCCCGAGCTTGCCCTTTGTACGACAACCGCACGTGTGGACTGAAATAAGAGCATGGTTTGTTACGAATCTCTCAGAGAAAAGGCGTACTATTTGCACAGTAAGTTATCATGCTGGCCTGTAATGCAGATTGTCATGCTTTGATCCTCTAGATAGGTTTTATCTACCTAAGGTTGTTTCTTGAGTTTTCAAGCTTCTCCACCAACTTGGGGCTAAGTCCTGTCGGAAAAGGACACTAAATACTTGTGTCTCACGACTTCTTGATTGTCAAAAACTCAAATAATTACTGTTTCACTTACTATGATACGTGAAGTTACGGTGCAAGGAAGGTAATCAAATCTTTCTTTTCACTTCTCTCTCGCTCCCTCTCTCGCTCCCTCTCTCGCTCCCTCTCTTTCCCCCTCTTTCCCTCTCTCTCTCTCTCTCTCCCTCTCTCTCTCTCTCTCTCTCTCTCTCTCTCTCTCTCTCTCTGTGCGTTTCTCTGTTTCTCTCTCTGTTGCTTCTCTCTCTGTTTCTCTTTCTCTCTCTGCCTCGCTCTCTCTCTGTCTCTCTGTCTCTCTTTCTCC